CAAGGTTCCAATCCCAAGCCTTCTTTAACCACGGGTGGTACAACCGAGACCCCTTTAGCGTGCCTTCTCGTAGTGGCCCTTCAATGACCAGTTTATGTTGCACGTGCCGGAGCTTCCTCTCCAACATCTGCAATGCGTCTCGAAAAACAAACACCCAATGCCTCTCCGAACTAACAGGATTGTGGTCAGAAGGCGAAGAAATAGAAGGCTCTTGGCCTTCGTCCATTCGCTCCCCACTCGAGGAAGAATCAAAATCACTAAAAGAGTTGTTAATGCCTTTGGAGGACATAACAGACACTAGAATTCGAAGCCAAGGGAAGACAAGGTGCAGATACAAGTCCCCCTACTCCCCCACATTTAATAGAGGAGCAGAGGAGCATAACCGGTAAAAAGGTCATCCCAAAGAGCCACGATCATCAGGAAATCAATTAGAGTGCCTCAAGCCTTATGAAGGACAGATCGGCAAAACATCTTAAAGACACCTCACAACATAAGACGCCTGCCACAACTGGCGTAGCCTTAAGCGTACGACAGGTAAAAGGACTCCTTCTAGAAAGCTAGATTGAAGTATATCCGCTCGAGAAGTAAAATGCAAATAAGCACGTGGATACTTATACAGCTATAAGAGCACTTGGCACCTTGAACTCCCAAATTCGATAGCCTCCCCACCAGCCCAGAAATGAAGGCCTAATGGAGGAAGCGGGGCCATTGTCATCGGATAAATCCAAGACGCTACGTGTCTTGACTCCACTCAACCATATGGAACAATCAGCAAAGAACAAGCAAAGGTTGAGTGCACCAGACCCGATTCCGAGCACACCAATTCTAGGACTGAGTATACTTGCGCGATCCGTACTAAGGACAACCAGTAGGCAAAATGCTAATACTTCATACCCAAGTCGCAATACGCCCTGGAGAGAATCGCCTCGGATGTTGCTACGCCCCTCATCTACCGTACATAGAGAGAAGGAGAATTTTGATGGTCCCCACAACCGTAAGGCATGGCATACCGCCCTCTATGTCCACCTCACACTAGAGGAGTCACTCTCACCATGTATAAAAAAAAGACCGACCATAATCAAGGTAAGTCAATATTTCCTATACAACTTGTAAGAATTCGACACACACTCTCATGCAGACTTTCACCCTCGAGATTACTACCTCGAGATTATTACCTATAGTCTACTTGCTCCATACTCGTTTATTCCCAATTTGAGTTCTAATTTAAGCATTAGAGTGCATTCGACAGAGCATCACACTGATGCTAGATTTCTATGTACGAGTAGCTAAGAGCTTGGAGACGAAGGCATATGTGACACATACATGACACCTACGTGGCACAAGCCCAGGAATTGCCATCAAGATAGATATACTCAATATATCCATAAGAAACCTACAATGTTACTTAAACTAAGATCTTCAACTCGAAGAAGATTTATTAGTGATATACCTAATACGAAGTATATATCATTCATATATTTAGTGTGACTGATATATTTCATATTAGGTATATAAGTTACAGCAGTGATACTTTATATTTCATATAACATACTTTATATTTCATATAACTGATATATATCAAGTATATCAATGATACACTTTATTTTAGATACATCGATTTCTAGAATTATCATCAAAAGCAAAATTGAAATAATAAAAGAACAAAAACTAATTTTAAAAATTTTACCATATTTGCAAAACCAAAAAATTGTTGCTATATTTACAAATCTGGAAAATATTTTTGCAACCAATTAAAAACACCCTACATCTTATGGAATTAGTTTTCTTTATCTAAAAAGTTATAAGAGGTTCTATTTATATATTTGCTTATATGTACTTACAAATATGATACATTCAAATGAATCATGATTTAAGTACATTACTTATAATGAGACTTCCCAAAAAGAAAAGAAAGAAAAAACACGTAGAAGCTTAAACAATCATGAAACTTAAAATGACTAAACTTATAATTTAACCGTGAAGCAACCAACAAAACTCACACTATCAAGTTCACAAACTAGAACTTAATGGTAAGAAGGTTGGAGATTTTTTATATTTACATTTAATAAATTTTGATTGAATTAATATTTTTGATCCACTAAAAATAATACATCAGAAAAGAGAAACTCCTACTCACTAATGAGAAGACCAATTCTTTATGACTAATAGCATCCACTAGTTTTGCTTCACTCCATGACAAGTAAAAAGATGTAAATTTATGTGATTTAAAAAATGGCACATGTCTGTATACAATAATATACATTATACAGACAGGGTGATAACCTGAAAAAGGAACAGCTTTGAACTACAGACACAAGGAAAAATAAACAAACTGAGAAAATGGCTACCTACTTCAGAAGATTTGAATTTGCGGACGGTCATCCATCAACTCGTGTCCGTTCAATCTGTATCGATGCAAATAAATGGATCAATAGTTCTCAAATTTGAGAAATGTTTGTAAAAAGATATATGATTATGACATTAATAGAATAGGATAATAAGTTGAATAAAGAAACAAGGAGCGAGAACGTTATCAGGATGAGCCACTATAATCCTCCTACCTACTACCACATGCCAGCTTCAAATGGGATATTATCTTGTTCTACATCCATTTTAATGGAAAAATTAAGCAGGACATTCTTCAATTTTCCATTCAGAAGCATAGCATTAGAGTGCTTCAATCGAAACAAATCCTAATTACTGACAGCTTAATTATAGTTATACGAACCAAAGCAATCAATTTAAATGGCTGAAATATAAATGGCAAGCTATAACCAACAAAGACCTTAGAATAAATGGGGACTACTTAATTAGTCCAATTTGCCTGTAACGTACTGTGAAGTTTTCACCCGTAAAAGGTATGAACTCCTTTGCAGCTTCAATATAGAACCATCTGCAAAAACATACTCTACCATCATGAAGAGCAAAAGGCAAGCTAATTCATCCTCTAAAAGAAAACGCTAACAAAAATCATCAATCAACACACATTGTTCAATAAAGTGAACCCGCTTAATCTCAGTCTCCAAAAGCAACAAATGGGTAGAGAACAGTCTGAGTAAGAAAATAGACATACTTGCACAGGAAAATTTGCTTCATTCCATTATCTGCCCCGAGAACCAATTGCCTTCGTCTTTCATATTCTTCTTTATACTTGGCAACAGTAAGAACTTCACATGGGCTTCGAATTAAGCCTGCCATTAAAATGGCATCGACATCGGATGCATATACCTACAGACACAATCACAAATGATGAAGCCCTCTTCATATATGTAACTCTCTAGACTAACCAGTGCAGAAAAAAGCAAAGCTACTGGAGTGACGTTAGGCACTTAGAAATTGGCCACATCAATATATACGTGAGATATGAGTATAACTTCTTGAGGTGTGAGCAAGTACATTAACTGAGTAACCAACAATCTCACAAAATGTAAATAAGAGATGAACAAGCTAAAAAGAGGAAGGGTGGGGAGAACTGAGAAGAATCAGCGTTGGAAAGAAGAAAAGAAAAGACAGAGTATAAAAAGGAAATTTGAATAATAAGAAGAAAAGATGGAGAAGAAGAATCCCTAGCAACACTTGGAGACTGAGGGTGAGGGATGAGAGTCGGTGGTGACTCTTCTCTCTCGACGAAGGTTGAGAAGAAAAAATTTTCTTTTTCGTTAGCTGGTAACAAAAAGGAAGTTGTGATTGAAGAGTTTAGCAATGGCAGGATTTCTTCCTTGTGTCTTTCATTGGGTTTGGTAGCATGGGTCAGGGATGGTTTTAAGGAGATTGCTTCCAGGGGGTCAGTGGAGCGGTTTTTCAAGAGATGGAGTTCCCCAGTACGTTTGATTTGGGTTCAACTGGTAAAGAATGCAAAAGGAAGGTGTTGTGTGGTGGTGTTGGAGGCCAAACGTGGAAAACGATCGAAATTGTTCGTCCCAGAAGGTCTGGGAGGTCAGGGGTGGCGAACGTTCGGGGAAAACTTGGGTTTGATTCTTGAGCAAAGAAATCCTACCAGGGTCAGGGGGAGTTAGAGGGTACTTCCGACGGGGCTCGTCGAGCGGACACCTCCTTTGCACAAGCAGTTTCAGGTAGAAAGTTGGATTCGTCTTCTCCAAAGGTCTTTGATAAGAATATTAGTTATCTCTTCGATACGGACCTTTGTGTGTTGTTGGTGAGGAAGAGAGCGGATGACTCGTGGGCTAATATTGAGCGTGCCGTTCGGAGTTTAGCAGGAGACAGTATTCTGATTAATAAATTCTGCTGCAACTTGGCGCTGGTTCAGTGTGAAGATGTAAAGAAGCTTTCCTTGTTGAGGAGTTTCGGTCGTGGGGTGTTAGGAGGATGTACATTTAATCTAACCTAGTGGAG